TCTTGATATCTCAAAACCAAGATCTGGTAGCAGATCACAGAACAAGGAAACAACTAGTTATGAAAGGAACAGTGAAGCCTGAGCTATTAGCTGTGGAAGATAACTCTGGTGCTATTGATGAGAACATTTTCTATGCAGAAATCTTGGTTTATTTGCCAAATGACAGACACTGCTATAGAGCTAGTCCTTGTGACTATTTAGGGGGGTTTCCATCCGGGTAAAGATGAGTTATTCACCAAGCACACTTATGCTGTCTGCTGCTGACTACACTTTCCTGTACAAGCAGAAAAGCCTTCCTTGGATTTTCATCCCCACTGAGGTGTTGGCAGATAATCTTATTTTATGTGACTAGGTAGCGATGAGAACCAAGGAAGATAGTGTTTCCTTCTGAATGTGAATATATTTAGCAAAACGGCATGTCAAAAGTTCTCACCAGGGCCTTCAAAACCTTGAGCTATTTGTTTGCATGATATAAGTATCCTTTCTGGTAAATTTCTTTGATAGAAATTGATTTATTTTTTTCTTGATAAATTAGCAAGTGGTTACCATGCAACATTTAAAAAAATACAGAAAAACTAAGGAAAAAAGCCAATTATAATTTCACCAAATATCAAATTGTCACCAAATATCACCTAATATCACAAGTATCACAAAGCAAATGTTGCTAGCAGTCATCATCTCTAGTGTTCTTCACAGTATTAAGTGGCTTGTTAACATTTCTTAGATTAAAACGTAAAATCTGGTGTTAAAAGTCTTTTACATTCTTTTTTTCTATTTCTGTGAAGTAAAGGCTACTCTATGAAAGTCACAATGGTTCTCCTGCCTCAGCTTCTGAAGTGCTAGGACTGTGGAAGTGACTCCCCACATCCTGTTCGTGTTCTCTTTTTAATTTGTGTGTAATATATTAATAGGGAAACCATAAATTATTTAGTCTTTCCATTTCTGAATAATGCTTAAGATATAAGGGTTAAAAGGTTTAAATCAATGTAAAAGAATTTTTACATATTCTAACTATGATATTGGTAAACATTTAAATTATCTATAAAAGAAAAGCTAGTATGCTTGTATAATGGATTTAACTAAAATAGTGACATCATTTTTTTTAAAAAAACCTATGGATTGTTTTACATAATGTAATCTTTACAATTAAAACATTAATATTATTTTAATGGAGTTTCCTAAGTAAGAAAAATAATGTATCCTTTTTAATAATGGAGCACTCACATGGAGCCCAATCTTAGACAAAGAACTACGGGCAATCAAGAAATACTGACAGAAGGAGAAATCATCTTCTTTGGGAAAAGTCCCCCCAATTGATTATCCAATACCAAGTGGTCAGCCCCAAGCCATATACATATAAGTAACAGATATGAACTGACCAGGATGTATTTATATATAGGAATGTATTGGTAACACAATTAGGAAAAAAGAATTTGAAAGAGGGAGCAAGGTGGGCACATAGGAAGGGTTGGAGGAGGGAAAGTGAAGAGGAAAATGATGTAATATTTTGATTTCAAAAATTTTATAAACAATTTAAAATGACATAGGTTAAAATATTTTAAATAAATGAGTATATAAAAACTTTGAGTGCAGAATGCCTGCAAATTTGTGTCCATAGCTGTCCTTCAAAATAGAAGGGAATTGAGGCACTTGGACACCTGTTGATTGATGAATGGATAGTGAAGATGTGGCATATATGGCCCATTTTATTGGATAGAAAATTAGGTAGGCGGAGTATACAGAAGAGAATTCTGGGAGAAAGAAGGTTAGAGGAAGAGTCGCCATGATGCTCCCACTCCAGACAGACGCAGGTTAAGATCCTCTCTGGTAAGCCAGCTCATGGACTACACAGAATATTACAAATGGGTTAGAACAATATGTAAGAGCTAGCCAATAAGAAACTGGACCTAGCCGGGCCAGGCAGTGTTTGAAAGAATACAGTTTCCGTGTAATTATTTCTGGGTATAAGCTAGCCATGCGGGCGGCCGGGTGCCGGGGACGCAGCCCTGCCGCTCCATATTCCAACAATTTGTTTATTAAGAAAAAGCAAATTATGAAACTTGCAGGGAAATGCTTGAAATTTGCACTATTACTGTCAGTGGAGCAACAAAAGCCCCCAAATGCAAACACCTCCTGCTCTCTCTCACAAGGAGCCTAGCTTTGACTCTTGTGCAAGAGTACCTGAACAAGCTAAGCAGTGAGGAATGAAACAGTAGGCTGTATTACATTAAGGAAGTAGGAATAGTAGAAACTAGGTAGAGAGTATAGAGACAGAATACGGTTGATGTAAATTATATAGGCAGTGCGTGAGTTGAGGATATGGGGATCAGAATAGGTAGAGGACTAACTGGGACATAGGGGACATCTTGAATTTTGCAGGAAAATGTATGGAGCTAGAAAACATTATTTTTGAGTGAGGTAACCCAGACACAGAAAGACAATTATCACATTTACTCACTCATAGGTGGTTTTTAAACATAAAGCAAAGAAAGCCAGCCTATAAACCACAATCCCAGAGAACATAGACAACAATGAGGACACTAAGAGAGACTTATATAGATCTAATCTACATGGGAAGTAGAAAAAGACAAGAGCTCCTGAGTAAATTGGGAGCATGGGGATCTTGGGGGAGGGTTGAAGAGGGGAGGGGACAGGCAGGGAGGGGATCAGGAAAAAAATGTAAAGCTCAGTAAAACTCAAAAAATAAAAAATAAAAAAAGAAGTCGTTTGGAAAATAAGATATGTCCACTTCTGCAATGGTGGCTTGAGAGTTGTGGAGTAATTGACTGCAATATGAATGGATTAAAAACCCATCCTATGGAAGGAGGGGTGACCAATGCTTCCTACTCTCTTTCTGGCTAACTGCTTGAGGTATGGGAAGGTTGGAGGCTGATGCATGTAATGGATTGCTACTGGTCAATAAAACTGACATAAGTTGAAACTTCCTACTAAATACCTCTGCTGTCACAAAAGATACAAGCAGGTCCCAACCTCAATCAGACAAAACAGCCCTTATAATTAACTGTGGTAAATGCTAGAGCATAGGTATCTAAAATACAGAAAATAAGGAACCAACATTTAAAAAATCATTTATACCACCCTTTTTATTGTTCATAGAACACTGTGGGAGAGGAAGATATGTAATAAATAGGTGAAAGGACACCATTAGCTACACTTCATACAAATATTGTAATCATTAACTCACAACAACTGTAGTTACCTGCTCTGGGACCACAAAGATCAGCCCTATTAACTTATCAATTCAGGAAAGGGAAAGAATTCAGAGGGCTGTAAGTTTACCTTGGAATTTGTAACTATTAATAGATTCTAATGAAGGAAAAGTAATGTGAGATGTCCTTCTATATATGTGTTGATTTTATTGGTTAATGAATAAAAATGCTACTTTGACGTGTGATAGGGCAGAATCGAGCTAGACAGGAAAACTAAACTGAATGCTCGGAGAAAGTAGGTAGAGTCAGTGAGAAGCCATGTAACTGTGGCAGGAGACAAATTCTAGAAACTGGATAGAAACTTACCAGTAGGCCACAACGATATGGCAAAACACAGATTAATAGAAATTGGTTAATTTAAGATGTAAGAGCTAGCTAGAAATACACTTAAGCTATTGGCCAAACAGTATTGCAATCAATACAGTTTCTGTGTATGTATTTTGTGTCTGGATAGCCAGGAAACAAACAATTAGCCTCCACCAACAAGAAAGTCCCTGTCTTTAGTTGTGCAGCCTCTGCTAAACCTGCCAGTCTCCAATGGATTACCCCAAACCCACATTCACACTAGGTAATATTGGTGGATTAGAGAATAAAATAAACAGGCATAAACATGCAAGAGAGATTTGTAGGGACAATTCATGACTACAGCCATTGCCTGCATTTTTAAGACCATGACTAGACTCATTAAAGAATCCGTGCAAAGGGCATGTAGACTAGAGCATGAGGGTTCTGCTGAGTTCCTTGTAACAAGAACACAGAAAGATTTCAAATGACTTGAAAAAAAAGAGTAAATAGAAGATGCTATAGTCACTTAACTATCCCAGTCTTTAACCAAATGAAATTGTGACCAGGAATACCAAATACTTTGCAAGATAATCACAGATCAGTTGCATATTATTGTACTGTGGTTATACAGTTCTGAGCCTGAGGCTATCTTGTTTGCTTAAAAGAAAGTTGTAATTGGAGGTAGAGATTTAACTCCAGCATCAAGCACAGCAAGTAGTAGACCTGTCATCCAACAACATCTCTAGCCTTCCTTTTACTTCCTAAAAAAAAAAAATTTGAAAGGTCATCCAAATGTATTGTCCTGGTTGATTTTGAACTTACTATCCCCTGTGATAACACATTCAATGGCTAGGGCTTCATATCTGTGCCCTCAGGCCTGACAAAAATGAAAGGAATTTTATTTCACTGAATCAAAAAAAAAGAATACCCAATACATTTGTGCATCCTAAAAAATACAATGATCAGAGCTACTTTCTTTTTTAATCTTCTTTTTTTATTTATATATTTATTTATTAAAGATTTCTGTCTCTTCCCCTCTGCCGCCTCCCATTTTTCTCCTCCTCCCCCAATCAAGTCCCCCTCCCTCGTCAGCCTGAAGAGCCTTATAGCTAAAGTGCATTATTTTGACTACATTTTGCTCATTATTTGTGTGACCTTAAACAAGTTGTTTAACCACCACTTAGCTTCCTCTGTTATGGAATTGGAAACCTGAAAATATCTCTTCCACTGTTAACGGCAGTCAAAATGAAATGACAAGTGTTATGTACCAAACACATTGTTGTGGTCAAATGATTGTTGTCTATATTCTCCTAGAAGGGCAGCCTCCACCACACCCCCTTGTGAATTATTAATGCCACCTACTAAAGTGGGAAGAAGTGGGAAGTTTTAATTCTCAGACTTCCAGAGCCCCCATTATTTGATGCCTAGTTCAATAAGCACTGGGGATTGAGAAATCTTAATCTGCTCATCTATCTCTTTCTACAGATTTCACAAGTGCCCAAGATGGAGAGAGTGAGGCTGAATTAATGCCTGATGAGTTTGAAGAGAAACCAGGAAGGGAAAAGAAACACTCGAACTTCACCTTGTGCAGTGTGTGTAACATTCAACTGAATTCGGCTGCTCAAGCACAAATCCACTACAATGGCAAATCTCACCAGAAGAGACTGAAACAGCTGACCAATGGCACACTGAAGAACGGCAATGGTAAGATTCGTCAAAGTATGTGGTTAGTTTTCTAGAATCAGTTTCTGGTGTGTGTCTGCATATGTGAAGATGGAAGAAGAGACCAGGCTCTTATTTAAAATCAAGAGAAAATTATTTTAAAAAATGGTTAGTACAGTGCCTTAAGCTGAACAATTTCTCCCTGTAAGTGGAAAAACATTGTATTTTGTGGCTGTATGAGATTGTTAGCCCAGGGAGTTTCTAGAATTTGAAAAACATTGATGCGGTTTTTATGATGTTTACTTTTGATATAGATAAATTGACAGACAGATATTCCTTTATGATGCGTATGATGATAGGAATTCTTTGCTTTTGATAGAAATGGGTGCAAATGGATGTTCTTTCAGGATGCACATGAAAGAATGGGTTTTAAGCATTTGAGGAGACAGACATGCTGTATCCTGTTGACTAGTATGATTGTAAATTATGTAGGTTAACATATTTCTTCCCAAAGAGGTGTTTAATTCAGTAAGTATGTTGTTGAGATTTGTAGTGGCATTAGCAGTTTGTTGGACCATTTGTCACCGTTATTTTTAAGTAGGTTCTGATTGTATGAAAACTCGTTTCTAAAAATTAAATACTCGGAAAAGCAAATGCAAGTTTATTAGCAAATAAGAAGAGGTAGAAAGAAACCGACTGACTTTTGTAGTGGGTACTTTGAAGAACTAAAGTGTAATAACTACAGAGATAATTGTAATGTTGCATATAATCAGATATTTCATGTTTGGTGAGTGAAATAAGAAGTTTTTCTGACCATAAGGCTGAATCTCAATGTGTGTAGTTATTGTATATCATAAAGATATCATTGTGCAGTACATTTTTGGTAGGTCTAAACAAGGGAACATTTAGAAAATAGCATCTCCTTCAACTGTGTCATGCCTAAGTTTGTGTGTTTCTGTCCATGCACATGCCTATATGTTCTCATGCTAGAATATTTCATTGGAAAGAATTTCAGATTTTTCTTTCAAATGGATATCAGTTTGTCAGTGATGTTGTTTGTAAAGAATATATAAGAAACAGAACTTAAAAACTGAACTCTAGTAAAGAGCATAGCCTGAACCTAGAAAGCAATATACTAACATGATGGTTGAAAATGTACATACTGAAGTCTGCTTAAATTGCTTAGGAAGAATGTGTTATTTAGCATCAACTTCTAGGTCAACCAATATTCCCCTAAATGACAGAATTCAATCCCAGACTGATGGTTTTTCAGTATTATTAGGGGGGCTGGTGTGGGCTGCTGTGTTTTATACTTCTGCCTTGAAAGTCACACCTATTTAGAAAAAAATAGCAGCTGGTACAGTAGAAATAAGTAAGGCACCAACATAACTGATTTATAACCCAAACTAGATCCTGCTACAAAAAGAGGCCAAAGATTTTCAAACTATAACACATTGCATGGATTTGCTCAAGTTTGATATTTATAATAATCACACCAGTGCTCTTATTATGTGTTAGTTTGAGCTAAAGGCTTTGCATGTATATGTTAATTCCCTCCCAACCAGCTTGAAGGATAACCAGTTCTTTATTTTGTAGATATGGAGATTAGCAGTGGCACTGAGTGACTTTAACACTGAGGAGAAGATATCTATTATTCATTCAAAAAAGCAATCAGAGTATCTCCTCTTCACATAAATATCTGTACTTCTAGGATCTACTGTTTTTCCAAATTAATATTGAGAAGTACTGTGATAGTCTCAGTTCAAATGGAGAAATTATTTCTGAAAGAACAGAGAAATTGAAATTCTATTGTATTCCTCCAAATACCTTAATCAAATGCTATACACCAACTGGGCTTTCTCTTAAGCTAATTACTGTTTAAGGCATTTTAGGTTACTATGTAGACCACTGGAGGGGGGGACAATGATGATTCATTGGAGCTCTAGGAGAGCCAAATCACACTCATTTGATTTTAAATTACCCTTAAAAGGAAGGTACCCATGACTATGAGAGCAGCAAGTATCATATCTGAGTTTCAAGGACTTAAATAATTGGAAAAGCTTTTCAAGGCAACAGTGTGTGTTTCCTTGTCTATGAAAGTATGACAAGGCTGTCCTTAGGCTGGACAAGGTCTGTTACTGAGAAAATTGGAACTAAAGTGTATATTGTAAATACAATAAATAATACAGAGGTATAACTTGATGTGGAACAAAAAGCATTGAAATACTTTTTGTCATTAATTATAAGTTTGTGTGGAGTCTAGTCCATGGAATAAGTTTATATTGAAAGAGCAGGTTATTATAACCACTCAATAGAGATCAGATCTCAAGTGAAGTTCAGCCCTGGAGCTTCCTCCTAAGAAAACTGCAGCATCTGAAAGTGTGGATTGCGTTGGGTGGGCTACTCAGTCTAGGGGTTAGTAACCCACCCGCAATCAAGTTATTCCAGGGTCTCGGAGGGGCGCTACCTGGAAGGGAATGAGCTAAGACAGAAGAACGAGACCAAGCAACTTTGTCAAGGCCTCAGTTTATTAGGGACGGGTTACAGTTTATATATGGTAAGGGATGAGGGGCAGGGTACGGGATCTCGCAGGCCGCGTGGTTCCGGTCACGTAGCTCGGTTACATTCAGACAGACAGGCCAGAAGTCACAAGTGGCCACACCTGGTTCCCTGGATAGCTGGAATGTGAGGCGGGTTCCGCTAAGATTAGCAGTTAATTGGGTGAGGGGCAGGTTTTGTCAATAGAACATAACTATGGGTGTGAGG